AGACTTACAGAAAACGTTTGACCTCTGTCATTGCCAACAAAGGATATAATACAAAGTATTGAGATGAACTTTTGATATTGACCAAATACTTATTTTCCACCATGATTTGCAAATAACTTCTTTAACAATCAGACAATGTGATTTTCTGGATTTTTTCCCCCATTTTGTCTCTCATAGTTGAGGTATACCTATGATGAAAATTACAGGCCTCTCTCATCTTTTTAAGTGGGAGAACTTGCACAATTGGTGGCTGACTAAATACTTTTTTGCCCCACTGTATATCTGACCTTTTTTATTATCAAATTATTTTATTAACTTGATGGTGAATAAAATCCTTAATTTGCTCTAAAAAGCATTCTCTCTAGAAAAGTTACAAAATTAAAATAGATTTGGATTATAGAGTTTAGAATTTCATGGCTATTTATTGGTGAAATGACTTCATGCAAGATAAGGAAAATGTACTGACGCCTCACACGCCATGCTGCTAGGTTCTTCAGAGCAGATCCAAAGTGAACTTGGCAACAGATGTCACATCCTTATAAACTTCCTGTGTTCAGTGGAATGGAATATCCACAACTAATCACTAACCAACAGGTTAACAATTAATCACTAACCAACCTTTGGATTTAATTTGTCAGGATGTTTATGCATTTCTATCACCTCTCTCACAATACTAGGAAAATTCAGGCTCCTACAAACATATACACATTTTCAGTTCTAGAACTGGTTCTCTGGCCAAAGATCATTGCTAAAAGGCAGTTAGTAGAAAAGATTTTTAAAGGATCTCCAACACTACTACAAGGACAGGGGATCATTTGTATCAATTCCCTCAGGGATTATCTTTTCAGGGAGACACAATGCATGGGTTTGAAGGAAGCAGTGGGTGGGTACAGAGCCCAAAGAAGATACAGAAATGTATTCTCTCTATGACAGATTTAGTCACAATTCTTAGACCCTTTGTTTAATCCAAAGGATTCATTGTATAAGGGATATATTATCTCATCTTCTCTACCCCTCATTATACATTCCAATATGCATACAGTATGAACTAAATCAATCAGTAAGTTAACCTTATCAATAATATTGAATGTTGTATGACTAATGGCTATCTATAATTATTATTTAACCAATCAAATACAGGAATAATTTACATAGATCTATAAAGAGGATGTGTAATTCCACCTTTCTTTAGGCTTCTCTATTGCACCCCCAGTACCAAATCTGTCAATAAACCAATGTGTGCTTCAATGTCATTGTATCCTGATCTCCCACTGAAACATAACCCTGGGAAATTCTCCTTCATTGCCATCTTAAAATTCACTAGTTTTCCTCTTAAATTTGCAAGAAATAACAAGAAGATTGACTTCAACACTTGTTTGTCACCTTAAACAAAGACATCAGAATAGGTCCAAAGTCTTAACAAGTTGTACTTTGCTCTTTATATTGATTCTGATCTCCTATTACCATTTACCTCCATGATCACATACTAGTTCATACATTGTAATATTAGAATATTGAGCAAATATCTGGAGGTTCAATCACATGCTATTAAATGAACTTGAAACTTAAATCCCAAAACTTATCATATTAAAGAAAGAGAGAGACAGAGACTCAAAATACATTTACCTGCGATTCCTATTATGATAGAGAATCTTCATGTCAAAAGCCTTTGCCCTTTTGGCTACTTTATAACCAATACTGCCCATTCCAATGATACCAAGAGTGGCCCTGCTGACTTCTACTCCTAGCCAATTAACAGCAAAATGTGTAGTATCTGGAGATGTTGCAAGACAACAACCTACAACACAAAAATAGAAATTGAGTATTGGGTAAAACATTAAGAGGGGTATCAGTTCTAGTGGGATAAAAACTATTCTTTCCATACTCTCTTTTGGCTTCCTAGTTCTTTTCTATGACCATAAGCAATAGTAGTTAAACTTATTACCTACTTTAGTTGGGATTTATCCTTCTCCCTGCTTAGATTTTGGCCAAAGAGGAAATCCTTCCTCCTTCCTGATTTCTAAATATACCATTTCTGCAGAAAAAACTGACAGATAGATCTAGCTGGTGTTGTGATGTTAAGGGACAAGTCCTTGATGAACAGGTGTGTTCAGAAATATTTTAATTCACATTAAATGTTGATATTTACTTAAAGTAACTATTGCAGAACATTGTTACAGAGAAAAACTAAACCAGAGAACAAATCATGCATATGTTAGCCAAAAATATAACTGAATGCAATTGCTTAATCTCAACTCATTTTTTAATTAATTTAACAATATTTATAATCCTCCCCAATCTTAATATCATTAAGAAAAACAAAGTACAAAGAGAGTTGAAACAACCAAGTTATCCTTTCTTTAGTGTAAGACTCACATAGCGCTTTCCTTCAATGGGACATGGTGGATATACTTCTCTACAGATGTTATATTCTCTCTTCCTTCCCTCAACTACTGATTACTAACAATGTTTACTTGGAACCTTTCCCTGCTCCCTGACAACGTGTAATTTTTTCCCCCAGAAATGAAAAAAAAAAAAAAAAAGATGTCAGCACTGTTTACAATACTTCTTGAAAATTTAGAGTGTTCTGCACTTGATACAGATTTACTTCAAATTCATACTAAAGCACACAGAAATATGGTCTGTAGCTGGTAGGGGCATATAGGTATTAGCATGGAAGGCTCCAGGTTGAATCACATCAGATTAAAGGATTATAAGTGGCAGGAGTTGAAAAGTATCTATAAAAATGAGGGATCATGTGTTGTTATATTATCATTTTGATATTTGTTGTTTTTTTACAGCTCCAGTTCCTTCTTACTTAAAAGCTTACCTAAAGCTTTCTGATAGATCAGATACGTATTACATCTCAATTCTCCTTGCAGATTCTAATAATGATGTTACCTTTAAAGTTGCCAAATTCTGATTTAGAGACTGTGCTACTAGGAATAAATAATGATACTTGATGATTTTATGTAGTTAAATTAATTTAGTTTAACTGCTTGTCCATGAGAGCTGTTGATTGTCCTTGTAAGATGGTAAAAATGTTTCAGTTTATTAATTTATGGCTACAAATTGATTATGGGTTGGGTGATATATTTTTTGGATGACTTTGTTTTCTCATCATGGACCACAGCTAACTAGTTAGCTAGGTGTCAGTCAGTAAAACTGAAAACAAGTTTGAAAATATTAAATTTAATTATATATTAGAAACAAGGCAAAATTTGGAGTACAATATTTCATGTTTAAACATGACTCTCTTACATCAGCCTTTGCCTCAAAGCCAATGCTGTGCAACGGGAACTTCTCCTCTTCCTGAAATTTCAAATGCACTCTCAAAATCTGTATTGGTGGCCCTTCCAGAGCCGATTAAAGGATGCTTAGAGGGGGTTGTAATGGGGAAGGCAAAATGCCTGGATGCTAAACTGGTAGCAGAAACTGTTTCCACTAACAGCAGTATATTATTGGATTATATCCATATACTTCAGAAAATAGAATGGGTATTTTGCCATTATAACAGCAGTCTATGCTAAATAGAGTATACTCAAAATATGAAAAGCATCTGTGACAGAAGGAAAAACTTTCTGAAAGAACCAAAAAACACTGTGGTCTGGTTGAAATTTAAGAGACTCATTTAGTTCTCAAGTCTAAAAAAACCATTATATTTATCCAGATGATAAAACTGGAAACTTTCTATTATATCCCATTTTTTCCAGGCTGAGAGCTGTACTTGTTCTTTGAGTAATGCTCCACATTACAGCACTTCTCCTAAAAGAGGGGCATCAGGACAAAAAGTAAGTAAGTAACAGTGGGAATTGCTTTTTGGGATAACATTTAGCATAATATATTTCTTTTCTCATTTGGGTAAAGGTAGGATTAGGGTTAGGCTTCTATGAGGTCAGGAGTTAACTTTAAGGGGAAGGTCAGCTCTGGGGGAAGTTTTTAATGAATAGTGGTTTATCACAGAAGTATCAGACTTTGTCATACTGCAGCTGCCCACTGGGGCTTGCAAAGCCCAGAGGAAGTTTTGCCTGTGCAGGGCTGATCAAATCTTGAAAAAAAAAATTTGACTTCTTGTAAATAGCTTCTGGCCCCCTGGGGATCCTGGCTCAATGTCTGAAACTCTTGATATGGAGAATAAACATTTCCTCTCCCTCCTTCCTGAGGGTTCTGATGTTTCAAAAATATACCTTAAGAATGCTCAGCTTTTATAACGCATGCTTAAGGCCAATAGTTTATTCTTAGTCAACTTGATTGGCACTGTATCTTAAAGAAGTAAAATTAGTAAAAAGAAAAAAGAAAAAAAAGCGGGGGCAATGGAACAACCAAATAAGGAGTAGAAAAGCTACATTGTTCCTTATCAATAGATCATGAAGACTGTGTTATAACTGCATTCATAACAACTTTACTAATGGAGAAAACAAAATTTTCAGTGATAATATTTTATGGTTTAATAGTTCCTAAGCTTTTCTTTGTGGGGAACTGAGCTGAACAAATGGTTCAACAGCCAATAATTGGGTGACTTGGAAAAGACTGTTAAAGCCTTTCTAAAGATGCTTATACAGAAATATGTTCCACTGAAGATTGTGTGTTTTTCTGTTTCTCAGTTTTGGGACCCTACTAATAAAACTGTATGAAAAAAGCCAGATAATTAGAAGGCATCAAATTAGTGATGATGCTTGCACATATAAGGAAGCATTATTTCACTTCTCCTAACTATGTGAAGAGCAATCTAAACTAAATGAGACCTTGATTGAACACGTTTTACAGCAGACCAATACATCAATAAATGAAGAATACAGTCACAGTTTGCCATCTCATATACCAGCTGAAAAAGAAGGAATCTGAAGCAATTTCCTGATGTTTTCTAATAAAAGTTCCTCCACAGGGAAAGATTTAGCAATCAGCATCTAACACAGTTAGACATTCTAACTTCTTGCAAGATGGTCTTGGGACCAGGACCAGACCTGCTGACTACAGCTGACTCAAGCATAGTGCAGGGAGATTGTTGCTTAATATGCACATTTAAAACATCCAAAGTATATTCTGCTTAATTTTGTTCATATCATATAGGTCTAAATCACCAATATATATTGGTATTACGATCCTAGGGTTGAAACAGCTAGTTGAAAATAAGTATGTGAAGAAGCAGATAGTAGGCTTGAAATAATCATAGGGAAAAGGCTGATCGATGTTGGCAAAACAACTGCAAAAGACAATGATTTACCTTCAACTAATCTTCTGGCAGATGCTAGCATTAACGCCATCCCAATGTCCGCAGTGGAATCAGAAACAGCATGTGGAGTGTTGGTCACTTTAACACCAAAGCTAGTAATTAATTTCAAATTCAAATGATTCACTCCTACTCCTGAGTTTCCAATCACCTTTAGGTTGGGCAGACTTTCAAGAAGCTCTGGGTCAATGACTGGTCTACGCTCAAATACAAAAATAGATTTGATCCTTTCATGGAGTTCTTCTTTGTTTTTGTGAAACTCTTTCATGGTGATGAGATTGAAATGCTTCTTGAGAAACTCTACATGGCTTTCTAATATACCAAATGTGCCTCCTATTTCAGAGATCAAAACACTGGGCAGTTCTTCTCCCATAATCTGAAAGGGAAGGTAATGGTCAGAAACATTCAACTGAAAAAGCAAGTAAGTGTTAAGAGATGTGTTTTGAATTCTTTTAAATAACCAAGGAGTGAAGTTTAGCATGCTATCTGAAAATTCAGGATTAGGAGTGAATTACTTGGGTTTTGAGATTATAAATACAAAAATCTCAGAACCCAAGCAATTCACTCCTAATCCAGAATAAGACTTTGAGTGAGGAGAATATATTGGCTTTTAAAATACTATTATTTTAAACTACTATTTGGTAGACTCTGTAGATAACATTCTCTAAAGAAAGACACCTGGTGACATCTTCTCTTACTGATCATAATGGACAGACAGCAATCACTGGGAATAGGTGAAGATACTCAAATCCTAAACTATGAAGGGCTTTAAGGTGATAACCATTATCTACTGTAGTGCATTACCATGTGTATTAATTTCTGTTACTTTTCTGGGCCTAGTTCAATATGTTGGCATTATCCTATAAATCTTAAATAGCTTGGGGACAAGCTGATGAAGGAATGTCTCATCCCAATTTACTAGGGCTGCACAGCACTTCCGATTCAATCACTGGAAGATGCTTCAGAGTGCGTGGGAACATAAATGTAGCACAGAAGCTGCATCTTTTCTTTTAATGTAGATAACCCACTGCGAGAGGTCAATAACAGGGTATCCTGTACATTCTAATCATATCAAAGGTAGTTTAAAAGGATGCTACTAGTTGTCGCCCATCTATTTCTTTTATCTTGGCATAGACTGCACTGCTCCATTATTATGCAATAGCGTAAAAATAGTTCTGCCAGATGGCAAGTTGATTACAGAGCTGGCCAAAAATCCCAATGCCTCTTAAAATGATCTAATCTCATCACTTGAGATGTTGTTCCCACAGCACTTTCTCTCAAGATTTCTAGAACTAGGAACAAGCTGCACTTCTCAGATGGTTACACCTGGCCTAAAGCTTATTAGCTACTGACCCATAAGATCACAATACCCCTAGCCAATTCCTTCTTGCCTCTAACGGATAAGAAGCAATCTTAGCTACTTTTAATCCATGAAATAAATCCAAGCACATAGTTGAGTAATATGTTTTTGGAGCCCAACCAAAATCCCATTTCTCAATAAAGGATATGAAATAAATTTTCATTATATATTAAGATCAGATTTGTAGCAATCTTGAGCTAATGTAATTCAGTGTATCTGGGATCTCCAATGTGGTGCCAATGCATATCAATGAATCCCTCAGTGTCTATATCTTTCTCCCCACCCAATTTTTAAAAACATTCTTGTAATTTAAAAAGAATTAGCTAGCTGCCAAAATGCCAGGCGACAGGATAATCAGTAATGCCTCTCAGCCCCATGTGAACATACTGGCATTTTTAGAAAATAAAAACTCTGATTGGCTCATCTCAGTACTTTGCTAGGAAGTGTGTCCATCTGCCTAGAAAAAGACAAGGTAAGTTGGGGGTGGTATGTGAGGGTGAGAGAGGGTGGCATGGAGCATCCTCAACAGTTTGCCTTCTGGTACATTTTGTGAATAACCATGGTCACCCTTTGTGAACAGGCAAGGCTCTGCTCCCCATGATGCAACGTTTTGTGAAAGGTTTTGATGCTCTCAAAATTCTAAATACACCTGCTGGTTGGCCAAAGCTTGAGTGACTTGAATGAAACCTTTAACATAGGCTGGTACAAGATTTTTTTTTTCCTGGTACTAACCATGGGCTGATATGCACTTAGTATTGTTCCCCCAGTATTCTTTTGGTCAGTCCTGTAGCTCTGAACACAAGTAGTGTTTTTCTTTGCCCATTTAAACCAATGTCTCTCTGCCAAGCGGAAAGCCTTACATCTGAACATAATTCCCAAGTTTTAGATGCTGAAACAAAAGGTGTTGTTAATATTGGTTCAAGAAATAACCATCTGAATCTGGGCTAATGTGAACATTTAATATACAGACAAAACAACAGACATTCCTAAAAATATAGCCTGTCGCACACTTAAGCACAGGAAACACCGCATACAGTGCTGCAAAACCTGCACTTTTCCCTAAAACCCTTTTTAATGAAAATGGCAGGAAAACCAATGACCCAGAACCAATTATCTTCACAGCTATAACACAGATTCAATTTAACAAGTTCTTCTGCAACAATCCTCCTAGTTTTAGCAAAGTACAGTAATGATTTAAACTCATTGTTCTACATCATACAGCAAATCAACTATCTTTTTTTCCAGGTTTCAGAAGTCCCTTTGCTGGATTGATTTTCCCTGAATATAAATAAACTATATACACAGCACATCTTGCTTCCTACATGCCATTAGTTTACAGTTTTCTGATTTAATCACAAAGTCTCAATAGTTATCCCTCTGTGTTGAACTCTACATCAATAGGTCAAAAAAGGCACGAGCTGACTATCCAATTATGAAATTCTCACAACAGACTCATTTAAAGTTCCTAATTTGATAATCACCAAGTCTATATTAGTTTTCAGAGAAGATGAAAACATTAAGAGCAAGAAAGTTTCAATTTTATATTCAGCTACCAAATATGTACTGGAAAGGTTTACAAGCTGTATTACAAAAATAAAATAAAACAAAATTGAAATATAGTGACTGAAAAGCCCATTACATTTGCCTTTTCATATGTTAGGGTTTATGTGTACAGAAACACTGAAAATTAGACTTAGAGGGAAAAGTTTGAATTGGGAAAATTCTTCAGCCATTCAGTTCATTGAAAAACTATGGCAAGTAATTCTGTTTTAGCTTAATCTACTATTCATGGTTCTTAGGTAGATAAAATAATACTACATATTTCATTTGCCACAAGTTCTTATTTCAAAGGTTATGAATGTGAAAAAAAATCCAACAGATAAAGATTGTTGTTTATGCATTAAGACTACAATTCTAAACTGGTTTATTAGAAAGTAAACTCTACTATTTCAAAGTAAATTAGGAGAAGCTATGGAAAATCTGAAATAGAATTTTCATTTATTGGTAAAAACAACAGGATCCCCTAGCCCCTTAAAAACTAAAGCAAAAAGTATTAAAGTGTAAGCCTATGCAGAGTAGAGAGCTCAGTCAGAAACACTCAGCAACAGTCCCTCCATACTGCACACTATATTAATTGACCTAAAAAGGCAGTTGCTAAGTATCTGATTAGGAACTTCAGGTAAGCCTGTTGTGAGAATTCCATAGCTGGATAGTCACCAAGAGTGCCTCTTATGGCTATTGATATAGAATGTACTATGGAGAGATCGCTACTGAGACTTTCTGATTAATTCAACCCTATCCGAACCCTTTCAGAAACATTTACAACTTGCTTGTTTGGGCTGGCCTTTTGAGGAAAAAAGCGGAGAACTTACTAAAGCTTCCCATCCCAGATAAGGTCAGCCAGGAGCCACAAACTGCTGAGTCTGAAAAACTCATAGCACTAATAATTAAAAAAAAATATTGTGACTATTCTTTCATTAATTTAATGGATAACTTTCATAAGGAAAAGGACAGAGACGGTGGTAGAAAAAGGTTACAAGAGAAGATGACAGTGTCCACACATAACATAAAGCTGTGGTTTGTTTAACCACAGTTGAATAAACCATAATTGGCTGGATTCACGCAACATATTAACCCAAAACAGAACAGCACATTTTGGCTTAATGTAATGCATTAACTCTGACATTGTCTAGCTCTCCAACATAACACCTTGTGAATCAGGCAAGACAATTTCCTAAGGGATTATTTTTGCACAGCACACATCCCATAATTAACTCAGCCATAGTTTATTGAATTAATCTTATTGCCTGAGCTCATTCAAGGCCATGGCTACGTGTGCATAACTACAAGCTAGCCAATCGCACTTTAGCCTAGTTGATGTTGTTCCAAACCCAACGTGGCTATTGGTTCATGATTTGGGGTCATGCAAACCATAGGCAAACTGAGAAAACCACTACTAAATTAATATGGATGGGCACCTTATTATGCAAACACAGTGATTGAACCACAAATTAGCCAACCACATTTGAGACCAGGATATTGTATGAGATCAGCCAATCAAATGATTAATCAAGAATCACTCTTACTTTGACAAAAGGAGAGGGGGAGCTTTCTCTTCTATTGTCTATACATAGAGAGAAACCAACAGCTTTGTTTTTAATCTCTGCTTAATGTATCTAGGGTTGCTGTGGGGAACTGGGAGACAGTGAGTTCTAGTCCTCCCCTAGTTATGAAAGCCGGCTGGGTGACTTTGGGCTAGTCACTCTCTCTCAGCCCAACCCACCTCACAGGGCTGTTGTGGGGAACCTAGGAGGCAGGAGTATTATGTTCGCCGCCGAGGGGGGGGGGAGAGAGAGAGGGAGGGGGAGAGAGAGGATATATTATTAGGTTAAAAATCTAATAATAATAGAGATACCAAAGAGACACAGCGAAATCTACGTACGTCTAATACTAATCATAAGCGTATGCATGAAGGCAAAGGCAATCTGTAGTCAGGTTGGGAAATCTGTTCTGCACAGCACAATGTAGTTTGCTTACAGATAGACCGGAAGAATCTGCCATAACGCTGGAAAAGAAGAAACCTAAAACTCGGCTACGCTCAGCAAACGGCCTTCTCCAAATATTGACAGCGAGGGAGGAACAAGGGCGGGGACACAGCACCGGTTGGCTGATATTTGGGTTTTGGGGGGTTTTTGCCCACTGATTGGGCCCTCAATAAAAATAGGTGTATTCCTTCAGGCGCGGACACGCATTCGTGCAGAAGCACAGCCCCTCTCTTAACTTTCCATGCAACAGGCTTCTCCCACTCACTGATCATTTCCCCTCCTCCTCCCTCTTTTTTCTTGTCCCGCCTTGAACTCTCCGGAAGTGACGGACCAACGGAAGGAATGATAGCGCCACTTCCTCTCCTGTGGCTACCCTTGCGACGCTCTAGGATTTTCCTTTAGGCTTGAACGGTGGCGGGCTTTCGGTCGTGGTGGTGTGGCGTTATTATTTCTTTGTCTTTGGTGAGCGGTCGATGAGCTGATGGGAGAAAGGAACTGTTGAGCGGAACGGTTAGAAGGCGGTTGGGCTCCAGGGGTGGCGAGAAAGGTGCGGGCGGGGGAAAAGAGGAAGAAGGGAGAGGTAAGCGAGGAAGAGAGGCGGTCAATGCTGTAGAACAGTGTTTCTCAACCGTGGTCGTTTTAAGATGTATGGACTTCAACTCCTAGAATTCCCTAGCCAGCGTGGGGACTTCTGGGAGTTGAAGTCCGCACGTCTTAAAAGGGTCAAAGTTGAGAAACACTGCTCTTGAAGATGGCACGCTGTGCTCCAAAGAGCTTGGAGGTTAGACCTGATTCCTGTTTTCCGTGGCTGGGGCTGGTCTTTGTGCTCATAAAAAAGGCCTAAACCGTGTGTCAGTCACAACACGCCTTTTCATTTGGAAAACTCCTGCTTAGAGAGGGTTTCCAAAAGCTGTCCTTTAATTTCACTGTTTTCTGAGTTGTGTCATTGCCTGATAGAATTGGCGTTATTATTTATTTATTTTATTCAATTTGTATAGGCACCCATCTCTAACCAGTAACTGGTCTTCAAGAAATGATAATATCCACTGCTTAACTAATTAAAAAAAAAAAAAGGATGGGCTACAAAGTTTTCAGAAAAGCAACAGAATCATACATCAATATGCTGGAAATGCGAACATATCTAAACAGTGATACGGCATGTTTCGAGAGATTGCAAAGACCTGGCCAGCTCCAGACCACCAAGCTTCATGACCGACCGGCCAGCTTGCCTGAGAAGCCTGCAGTAAAATCCAAACTATTGTATTAACCCAGAAATTCTGCCCTTCTCTGTATGGTCCTTTTCCACATATTCGACGAATATATTCCTTAGTTACTTAGGAATTAGGATAGGACTTTGAACTATGCATAAAAATGGGCTTGGGATGGCATTGCTGATGGAAGAGCTGAGATACTGCAAGACTTGCATACTACACTATGCCAATATTGGGGAAAGAGCCCCTGAATTAGGAGTGGTAATCTTGAGCTCCAGTGGGCTTCTAGATAGTACAACTCAAGTCTGATCGCTCTGGCTTCCTATGGAAATACACAAAAAAATTTAGTCATCTTTTAGTTTAGATGTTTTAGTTTAAATGTAGGTGTTTAGATCTTATTCTTTCTGAGGGACAAACACTAAGTATATTTGTTTGGATTAAATCTGAACACATCTATATGAGTTAAAAAAGGGAGCCCTATAAGTATAAGCTTGGAACTGTAGTGATTATTGACAATTGCAAGTATGACAACAGTGGGTGCCTTTTATTCTGTTTTAGGTAATGTGAAACGTGACTGGTTCTCAGACTCCATACAGACTTCATGTATTTCAAAGAGATACTAAATAGAACTTTAGGGGAAGTGAAAGAGAAGTTCCTGAAATTATCATAAGGTAACAAACAGTATTTCATCTTTAAAGGAAAAAAGAAACTCTGCTGTAGTTATGGATCAAATAATAGTTTATATTTTTTGTGTATGTATATAATTATTAATGGACCAGTGATTGAGTTGGTAACACAGCAAATAACAAAACTTGTTTCAACAATATGTTTCTCATTAACTAAAAATACGTTTCCATAGGTGTTATACTTATGGTTCTCTGATTTTCAGAAATTTCTAGGAAACTCACATATTGTTGCTCTTTTATTTTTTCCACAAAAAACATTATTGTGTACTTGCATCTGCCTTATAAAGAGACAAATGAAGCTGTAATATTTACTGGAAGTGCAGCTTTTCTGAGTTATATTTATGATCAGCCAACTCCTGAGTACCAATAGAAAAGAATATGTGTAGCTCAGGGTTGAACTGTGGAGTCCTTGGGGTTCTCTGAGCTTGGTTGTTTTCTTGCAAAAGTTTTGTTACCTGGCTAGGTAATACCTTCAGTGTGCTAAAGATGTTACCTTGCCGAGTAACGAAACATTTGCAAGAAAACAACCAAGCTCAGAGAACCCCAAGGACTCCACAACTCCTGAGTATCTGCAAATCCTATAGTGTTCTCTCTCTGGGCAAAGAAATAGTGTTCACTGTCTGAGGATGAAGGAGCTATTTTGTTTCACAAATATCTCATATTTTAACATCTATGGATTCTAATTATAAATAGTTTTGGGAACTAATCTTGAATTAAAAATGGGATATCTATAAAATAACAGTATCTTGGCCTCTTATGTGTCTTTATCACATAAAATAATACGATTTGGGTTGACTTAAGTTAACCCTTAGTAACATTAAGCGAAGTGTAAACATCAAAATTGTAAATTATTTTCTGTACTTCTCTTACAGATTTGATATAAGTTTTTCAAGATGTCATATATGCTTCCACATTTACACAATGGTTGGCAAGTAGACCAGGCCATTCTTTCAGAAGAGGACCGTGTGGTAGTTATTCGGTTTGGACATGACTGGGATCCAACATGTATGAAAATGGATGAAGTTTTATATAGTATTGCTGAAAAGGTAAAATGTTTTAGCTGACTTGGAGAAATAAAGTTTTATTGTGCTTTAATCAGATCCAAATAATATGCTGAACTTGGAATATGTACTTAAGAAAAATGGCATATTTCTGTTACTAGATGTATTTTTAAAAAAATAGGTAAAAGACTGCAATTGAGGAGTGTGAATTTTTTTCCTGAGATTCCTTAGAGAAAGATTGGAAAACATACATCTTTGCACTCCAGTGATTTTGCTAACTCACTGAATTTGTGTGTTTTGATTTCATTTTTAGCTATAATGTCTTCACATAGTGTGAGAATTTAAGCCATTTATATTATGAAATATAAGAAATGTAATACAAAAAAGAGGATCTAGACAAATTAAGAGAGGATTGATTTGTCAGTGGCTATTACTCTTGATGCCTATATATATATATATCTTTGAATCCAAATTGTTCAGGGATGTTGCCTTCATATTCAGGTTGCAGGTATCTGCTGGGAATTGCAAGAACCAAGTTTTGATGGACTTTGTATAATACTTGTAACATGTTTATGTCAATAGTAGTAGGTCTTCGGTAATACATTCTCTGGACTGTTGCTTTTATCTGAGACTGTTTATATATAACATCACACTATAGAAAAATGCAAGTGCATTTACCCTTTTTTTTCCAGGCATAGGTGACTCCTTCACCCAGCTTTGCTGCAATCCTTGCCCAGCATTGCTACTATCAATATATCCCAGAGGGCATTGTGTGTGGTGGAGGGTTGTATTTTAGTTTGATGGGGGATTCATATGTATGGCATGCATCTATGGTAAAAGAGGTAAAAATATAGTGGTGATATGGATGAGCAGTGGAAGGAGTATGTGAACTGTTGGTATGAGTGACATGTTTTCTGAATTAGGAACCATGGCTTTTGTTCCCAAAAAGGTTAGGAATCAAAAACTAATAACTGTCTTCCAACAATCCCAAAACCTGGTTTAGATGGTACAGTTAATTTTTTTTGCTTGTTTTAATTGTTTTTACTGAAAAGGAGAACAGAAATAGTTTGTGCAATAGTTTGTATAACAATAAGCTAGGATTCTCTGACATCCTGATGTATCATTGCATGTGAATGCACCATGTGTTCAGCTGGCATCAGAAAGCAAATTTATAGAAGGAGACAATGGCAGAAGTGAAGAGATTTAACTTGAAAGGACAACCTTCATTTCACTTGTAATTATAACTAGAGAGGTGCAAAAAGTTTTGAGTTTGGACTGTTTCAAGTTTTTTTATCCTGACCAAGAGTGTTCTGTAGCTCTTCCAGCCTTACTAGCTGTATTGTAACCTTGAGTTCGCCGTATTTCAAGCTTGAAATATATCTGGTGAAATTGGAGCAGACTATTGTGGGCCCAAAATATTTTGTACACTTCTAGGTATAACTACAATTTTTTATTATATGAACAATGTAGGGAAGATTGCAGTGATTTAATACTTACAGGTAGACTTTGCTTAGCAACTGCCTTGGACAGCGACTGTTCAAAGTTACAACAGTGATGAAAAAGTAACTTAGCGAGCAATGCCCACATTTACAGCCTTTGCAGTCTCTCTCTCTCTCAGTCATATATTCACCATTACAGTCAGTATGTGTTGTCCTGTGTCCGATGTGTTTTTTTCTCCCCCCAACAGAGTGGAGAGATTGCCTAAGCAAGATATCTCTTCCTGAGCTGCTCTTCTCCACAGCACAGTGCATCCCTAAAAACTGCTAACCACAAGTTAACAAGCTCAGCTCTGTGACCTTAACTAGTTGATTAGCTGGCTCCCAGCTGCTGCCTATAACTAAGAAGACTTTAATCAGTTTCACACCTTTGGTTTTTGTTTGCCTCCTAAGCAGTTGGGAGCTGGGAGTGCACAAGGCAAACAGCCAGCGCTAGCACATTCCTTTCAATGTGTATCCCCCTTTGTGTGCCTGCTTACTCTCTTTAATCTCTTCTTCTCCAGTGAATGTAAATACAAACATTAATTCCCTTCTTATTATCCCAGCACCAGGGTGAGCATTCCAAAAGGCGGGGGAGTGGGGAAAAAGGGTGATAAGCGTTTCCTTTTAACTGGTTTCCCCATGAATTGAGTTCCGGAAACCTTCCCCGCCATTTAGGCTTACCCAGCTGTTTGGGGTTGTATCCTGCTGACACTGTAAAGCAAAGGAAAGCTGAAGTAAAATCATAAGCACAGTTATGGTCACATGATTTTCTACTTAGTGATCGCAGTGCTTAGTGATGGAGTTGCTGGTCCCAATTGTGCTCACTAAATGAGGACTACCTGCATTGTATTGCCTATAGGCTATGACAATGAAATTGCATATTGTGGTTAAATTTTTACAAGATTTTACTAGTCCACAATTTGGCATGTTTGTATCTATATAATAGGACAGAAATAGGCTGCTGTGAACAGAATTCTGCTTATGGAGCAAGATATGCTCAAATGCCAGCTTGTAAGGAGCTCTTTGAAAATATGTTCCAGAGAGTCAGAGGACTGTCTTAAAGGAAACAATTTGGCTTTGTAAGAAAAAAAGAATTGAATAAATAAACAAACAAACTCCATATTCCTCTTGCTTTCTTCTGCAAAAGATGTGCTGTATCCAAACACTTCCATGAACTGAAAAACTCATAGGGAAAGTTCTAATTCTATTTTATGTATGGTTCTACATTATAAAATGTAATTTTAAAAAATAACGTACTTAAACTTCTGAATAAAATAAAATAATAAAACCACACAAACAGCAACAAATTCAGCAGAAAAGGACAATTTATTTTATTAGAAATCAGCACAAATTACTTAAGCATTTATACATTGCCACCCATCAGAGTTCCTAGTTTATAGACAATAATACATTTGAAAATTATAAAAAAGTCCTATTAAAATTGTAATTTAAAATATATTTTCAGAGCTTTGTCCAGCAATTTTGTTAATCTCTGTATTTCTGATGGGAATTGTTGTATGCTCCCTAGAGTCACTTTGTGTGAGATGGGCGGCTATATAAATATGATAAATAAATTTCAGAGCTCATAATGGCCATTGAGAATGTCTGACTTTTAATCATTGCCTGATGTACTAGTGGTAACCAAAGACAGTCTTTTGTGCTGACCTAACAGTTTCGTTATAGGCAAGCTGTTTAGGACTTTTAAGACTCAAAAGGAGATAATGTTTAGACATTTACCATCACTTTGTATTTCACCTAGAAATAACACAGCAACCGGTGATCATTTCAGTAGAGGTAATATGGTTTCACTGGGATATGCAGAGACTAGCTTAGTTGCCAAATTCTACATATGCTAAAATTTCTAAACTACATACAAAGGCTCTTCAATGCAGTACCATACAATAATGTGCCAGAATTAAAATATTATGGCTATTGGTTTATATTGACCTTTTAAAGAAAGAAAAATCTAAAAATGTTATTTTAATGCTTGTCAAAGAAAAATTTAAACATTGTCTATGTAACTGCTTCAAGGCCAAATTAAGAGAAAATAATTATTTGAGATACTGTGTTGAAACTGGTCATACAATAATAGGAATTGTAGTAACTTGCCAGACAAGTTGGCACTTAAACAGAGGGAAGAAAGAGAACAATATAACTTTTGAATTTAAAAATCTCCCTCTGCAGAAATAGCAGATTATAGAGGGTGACCCTTCCTCATCCTCTTGCTTATGAGCCCTGTTTGGATATCGCTGCTGTACAGAGTGAGTAAACAGTTCTAGTTGTACTACATATTTATATATCATACCAAACTGTTGACATGCTGCAGTTGCGTTATACATTTGGGAAAAAGCAGTTAATGCCATCAACATGGCCTGTTTCAATCCTGGTAACTTCTTTCCATAAACATTCTAGTCCATAAAGCATTTTCCTCTGCTGGTTTGTTTTCCTTCTTTTTTTTTTTTTTTTGCAGTATGAATACTTTCCAGCATGACACTTCTGTTTTGAAGTGTAAAAAGAAAAAAATGAGGTTCTAGACCAAAAGTGGTTTCCTGTCAGTTGAGGCAAAAATTTTTACATTTTATCAAGTTCAGATACTCTACCTTGTCTATTCTTAAGAGCTTCTTTATCTCCCTATTGATTTTTAATTTTAGGAAACAGTGTTGCACTATGTGATGCATATTTTCTAAAAGCTAGAATTGATCATCTTATCATTTCTAAATTGTCAGTGATGAAAAGTGTAAATCTTCTCCTTTAAATAACCTCTGTTTTTTACTCATTAGAATTTTAATATCAACCCAAAGGGTTGTATACTCTTTATTGAATTATTTTCAGATTTCTAAAAATGCCTAAGTGGGTTATGTCTGTCATGTATGTATGAGTATTGTGTGTGATTTTTAGTGGGAAATAAGCTTTTTCTTCACTGGTAGGCTTACTGCATGGAAATATATTGTGGGAAGTATTTGTGAGTAAATTGTTTTAATCTCTCTCTCTCTCAAATACCGTCAGCTATAGATTGTTTTAAAAATGTTTTAAGCACTTTGCTCACGTTGCTTCCTCAAGAACTTTCACTGATGTTGTAAATGTGATATTTGAATCTCTAGATTATGTGTTTCATTCAGAGTTCAGCTCAGTGGAGTTCCACTGGTATTTGTGAAGTGCAGGGCAGTATTTGCTACTTTCTGCTGAAATCTTTGAAAATCTACAGAGCTTCAAAAGGAAATGGCAGCTAGCAAGAATTGTCTTTTCCTTCCTTTCTTTTTAGCAGGAGGCCTCCACATGAATCCTTCATGAAAGGGAGAACATATTTCAAACTGAGTCTCTATCTTGTCTAGTATATGTTGCTGCCTGTTTAAAATTAAACTTATGGATAACTATCTTTAGATGTATTTTATGTAATGCATATTCAGTATTTGCAAAATGAATAAGACTCTGCAAAATACTAATTGTATGAGTAAAATATGGGTTTTATTTAAGTGGTAAATTAAATAATAAATAATATATAAGTATTCATTTCCCTATTCTTTGTTTGCTTTTTCAAAAAATATATCCCAATTTCAGTGTTCATTGCCATTATATGATGATTTATTGCATTTTGTAGATGTTCTCCTAAAATTATGAATAAAGCATCATTTCTAAACCAAAAATGGCTATAAATAGGATATTGCAGAAATAGGCAGGGTAAGGTGTTTGGTAACACCTGATAGGATGCATTTGCTCCCTTGTAAAGGTTAAAGTGTTGTTTCAGCAAATATGCTTACTACTGAAATTTCTGTGAGTTTTGGCACTGAAGGAATTTTTTTTTTAATAGTGAAAGGCCTATATTTGTGATATGAAAATGGAGTATAAAATCTTATATTTGTGTAAGAATATTACTTAATAGGAAAACTTATGGAAAAATAATGATCTATGTTTATTAGAAACTGGATGTTTTAAAAAGACTGGTGATAAATGTACCTAAAAAATAGCTGTAGTGGTTAACTGTTTCAAGCATCATGATGTTATGTTCTTATGCTCTCTAAGAATTAAAACTTATGCACGTGTTTCTGTGTAAGTTTACAATATTCTGAAAATAGTTTACAAATATAATTACATTATAAACATGTTTTTTTTTTGCTCTTAGGTGAAAAATTTTGCTGTAATTTATCTAGTAGATATCACAGAAGTACCAGACTTCAATAAGATGTATGAACTGTATGATCCCTGTACTGTTATGTTCTTCTTCAGGTATATTTTCATTCCTACATTGCTCTTTAACTTGCATGTTCTCAGTCAGTGGGTTTTTTTGGGCTGTGTATTTCCAATTCCTGCCTAATTACTTATGTTTTATAATATCATTAAGCTACAGTTTTAACCTGAAAGTAACTTCATTGGGACTGATGTTGTTATTCAACCATTATAGCTTACAAGCTGGTAACTTATCAACAAACCAGCTTATTAGTGAGGAAAGGTGAAAAAGACAAGCTTATTGAGTTGACTTACAAAATAGTTTCTGCAGAACTAGTTGTGAGTTAAATCGGTACAACAGATGTGGTTTTTAAGATCATCATAAAGGTAAGGCAAGTGGCATTATCTTACTACAGGTAGTTCTTGCTTACCAACTGCCTTGTTTAGCGACCATTCAAAGTTACAAAGGTGTAAAAAAAAATCACTTTGCAATCAATCCTCACATTTATGAATGTTGCAGTGCCCCACAGTCACATGATCTCAATTTGTGTGCTTTGCAACTGGCTTGCAACAAGCAGAGTTAATAGAGAAGGCGGAAGTAAAATAAGTTGCGATCACATGATGTTTCACTTAACGACCAAAGGCGAAATGAGATCATAAGATCTCAATTGTGATAATTAAACTAGGACTACCTGTAGTTAGTGTATCTCCAATTGTCCCATGTTCCAGTCCCATTAGATTCTGCTTTTGGATGAAAACGGGTCATGCAAGATAGTTTGAAGGAGAGTTTGAAATAAACATTCCCAGTTAGAGTTCTGTATTGGTTTTTGTATACACAGAACTCTTCAGTATGTAGTTATTCGGAGGAAAATGCCAGCATAGCTATTGGCCTGCTGCAGCAGTCATAGAAAAGAGCTTATTATTTCCTGCAAAGAGCAGTACTCCTACCTGGATTAGTGCGCCACCTAGAGTCGCCTGTGGTGAGATGGGTGGCTACATAAATTGGTTTAATAAATAAATAAAAATAAGCCATGACAGTATACTATAATTTAATTTGACATTAAGCTATTTAATTTTCTTGACTTTATCAGTTTCCTTAACTGGGTCTTTAGTAGTCCTAGAAATGACATAAATTGGTGGAATTCTTTTCTGTTTGGGTATGATATGGGAAGTTCTTTAAATTGGTCATATGAATTTGGTATATTTTTAATGTAACTTTCAAAACCATGTTGTATGCCATGTGGAGGTGTGTAACATGCGAGATAATATAATAATATTTCCAATTAGTAGATATCAGTAAATATCTTTTTAGGAAAAAGAAAATAATGATTAAAACAGTGAGACACCATGATCACTTCCTGATCTGATTAAAGTCAACTATAGCCTATTGGGTTGGAATAACATTCCAGACTAACTTCATTTTAGGAAAAAGGACAGTTTGGATAAACATTAATAATTGTCTCATTGTCTAGAGAAATATAGATAGGACTACTTTAGGAGGTATGCATATAAAATATTAAATAAAAATAAAATAAATATTTGTATAATTATTTTTTTCTTTTCTTTCTTAAAGAAACAAACACATAATGATTGATTTAGGCACAGGTAACAACAACAAAATTAACTGGGCAATGGAAGACAAGCAAGAGATGATTGACATCATAGAAACAGTTTATCGAGGTGCTCGTAAAGGTAGAGGTCTTGTTGTATCACCCAAAGACTACTCAACCAAATACAGATATTGACATTTTGGCTATTTATTTCAAAGTCACCTTTCTTGGAAACTTCCTAAACCCAGGCCTAGCATATGAGAATTCTTCCATGGTTACATCTCATTGTGAATATATTGAACTGAGTAAATATGTTACCTGATTTTCATGGGAAAATGCCATTGATTTGGGAAATAAAAGTTATATTTACTTTTGAATGTAAAGAGCTTAAAATGTCAAGTGTTTTCTAAAAACAATTCTAATTTTTTCTATAGATAATGTGTTGTCTTTTTTCAAAATGTATCTACTCTAGGAATGCATACAAAGTTTTGGAGTGGAATAGGCAATGCCTGGTCATTCATGTCTCATGCCAGTGCTAAAACAGCTGCCCTATATGCCTATTAACTAGTGAGCCTGGTTTACCTGTGGCACAGGAAGTCCTGAAAAACTTGTACCAAGCTGCCTAGCACATCACATTTTCTAATATAAAATATACTGTAATGAAAACCATGAGAGGAAGCCTTGCTGGCGATACTATGACCTATAGATGGCATCTGGTGGTTCTTCTGCCTTGGTGTCCTCTGGTATTTGGGATTTGCTATTTAAAATATTTTAGGCACCTTTTAAAGCAGGGGTTGGAAACCTCCTTCAACAGAGGAACCAGAGGCAAGCCTTCTGCTGCCATTTCCGGGGGATTCGTTACTCAACTCCCACCAAGGCAGCTAGTGAATCATTGCCAAAATGGCTGCCTGAGGAGGCAGCAAGTGCTCTTCTTCTATCTAACGGGGCAGGTAAACATACTTCTTTTTGGGATGACAGGCTGAATGACTTCAGGTGGTGGGCCACATCTGGCCTGCAGGCCATAGGTTGCCGACCCCGGGTTAAAAACATCTGCCGTCATCCATGCTATCCTCTGAATATTGAATATTTTGATGCATGTGGTTTTCAATATTTCAATATTTTAACTGATGGAGATCCCTCTGTAAACTACCTTCAGTTCTTACAGGAAAGATAGAACAGAAAACGAATGAACTGATAGTTTAAACGACAATATGTTGAATATTACACCAAAAACCCTGTTTTGCTTGACCAATTAAAAAAATGGGATCCCTAAAATACTTCAGTTATACTTCAGAAGCTTGACCTCATTTCAACATGTATATGTCAGTTTATATAAAGATGAATTCGACCATATGTTCCTAGGCAGTGTTATTAACATAACAAAAGTGGGTACAAATTAATATGGGCTTATTTACATAAAACAGATGGGTACACATACTATAAACCATAGTGTGATCTTTTTGTTTTTGGCTTATTGTGATTGGCAAATTATAATTTGTAAATCATGTTTTATAATTTAGAATATTGCACAAATATAACCAATTTTTGCTTATTCAGTAAATCATGATGAACCAAACTATGGCTTAGCATGATGTATGAAAACAGTCATTCAGGTTCTGGTTACATTTCTGACATCACTCAATTATCTAATTTCCTCAGTTCATCTGCTGAGAATATAATTTTGTTGTTAGTAAATATGTACACTGCCCAACTCCCAACAACTTTGGGCGGTTTGTAAGTAAAAAACAAAAGAAACAAACAATACAATAAAAACAAGGAACAAAAGTTGGCAAAAGGGGGGGGGACAGCAACAAAACATACCCACTCCTTGGAAGGGGCTACACCCATCCTAACCAAAGGCCAGGGCAGAGCTAGGTCTTCAAGACCCTCTAAAACACCAGCAACATAGAGACCACTCAGATCTTGGGGGGAACCTCATTCCAGAGGGCAGGCGCTGCAATAGAGAAAGTATCCTTCCGAGTCCCGATAGATGTCATTGTTTAATCAAAGGAACCTGGAGCATGCAAACTCTGCTGGATTGAATCTGCCAGACAGTTACTATGAGAGATAGGCGGCCTCTCAAGTAATCAGGCCCTATGCCATGTAGGGCTGTATAGGTAATTACCGGCACCTTGAATCGCACCCAGAAGTAAACTGGCAACCAGTGCAGCTTGCAAAGCAGGGTTTTACATGGGCATACAAAGGCATACCTGTTACTGCCCATGCCACTGCATTCCGGACCAGCTGAAGCTTCCAGGTGGTCTTCAAGTGCAGCTCCATGTAGAATGTGTTGCAGCAGTTAAGCAGGAAGGGCCTCCTATTCTAGGAATAATATTCTAAAAATCATGGTAGAAATTGTTCAGAATTTCATTAGTGAGACAACAATCTGATTTCAGAACACTTGATTTCAATAGGGGGAAACTAATCAAAGTTGAGATTACACTAATTTTAACTATTAACATGGAATCTTACTCTGATTTCTTTGTACTTGATAGTCATAACATCCATACAGGATATACCAAGAAAAAGAACCTCATGGAGAAAGTGGAAACGAAGCTTATTATAAAAGCCTATTAATGTATTCACACAATAAGTGTATGAACTGTCATGAGCATGAGATTCAGTGTTAATATGAAGCCAGTTTCCAAATTTTAATGTCACTCTTATACAAAAAGTTTCATAAGGAGAATTTTTCTTTATTATAGCAGTAATATAGGCTAGAAATTTTACAACTTTATTTTTCTTTGTAGCCAGTGATGTAGTATAAGAAAAGTATAGCTTGTGTCCATTAGTTAGTTATAGTCTTTTAACAAATCTCTTAAAATTTGTACAAATGTAGACCATACTTAAAGTCTTCATGTTCTGTGCAGCTTTTTCTTTGATGCCTTCAGGTCTGTACAAAAATGATTAGCATAGATATTGAGTTAAAATTAGGAAAACCAGATGTGAATTCAGCATATAAATAACCATCTCCCAATCTTTGTATTTTCTTCCAATTGAATGAATGTAAATAAGGCAATTCATTTTTTCTCCAAAATTTTTAAAATACAGAAATGTACTCTTATGAGAGGTGATACCAGCTCAACATGCTGTGTCTGCTGAACCTTTTAATCACCTGAATTATATTTGTACAAATCTGCATCTGCATGCTTTCTGTACATATAGGTGAATCCTGGCTCTCTTGCAATCACTCCAAAATTTTATGCTTTGCTATAATTTTTATTCTCCAAACTCTTTAGTAAGCAGATGAATACTCTGTGGCTGAGTTTTTAAAAGCTAAGCAAAGATGGATCTGTTGAGTTTTTGGATTGGAGATCATTGGGAAATCTCAGGATTAATAGATTAGACTGGGAAATTGAAAGAGCGCTCTGGAAGAAGGTAGTGCAAAACTATGTATTCTATGGATTCACTGAGTATTAAGTTTCACTTGTGGAAAACTTTACCCTACCTTAAGCTAGCTGTGTTTTCATGTTTCTATTAATGCCAACAAGATTTTTTTTTAAGGATGAGTTTATTTTCTTTTACCCTTTTGAACTGCTGATGCTAAATACATTGTCATAGCAGACATTTAGCTACTTGCACAGTAATGTGATGAGTTTACAAAACCAGAATCTCACCGTTAGATGTTCACTAGCATTTTCTATTCCAGCTTGAGCCATTAGTCCAGTAACATGCTTCTCCAAATCATCTATACGTTCACCCATCTCATCCAGTAAAAGGTTAAAGAGCACTGCATTTTTTAATGTGTTTTTATTAGGGTTTTATACTAATCTATCTGTGGGAAAATAATACATGGTGCATATAAACAAAATATAACAGTATTCACATTTGGTTTCTTTCTATTGTAAAAAGGTCCAAAATGCTCTGTTTGATCTATTTTATCTTATTGGACATAAAACAATTGTGTTCGTGCCATTTCAAGACTGAACATTATTTGAGGCACTTGTCTTCAAATATAATTGTTGAGGCAAGATTATTAGTTTACTTTAAAAACAGGATTTTATTATTATTTGATAGTTTCCTATATACTGCAAATATAATTCAGTACTGTCTCAATTCATAAAGTTGGACAGGAATGTACTGTATCACCATAAAATTCCTATTTAGGAGAATCTAATGTACTTAAATTAGTAATTTAAGAATCTTGTTATATAACTCTTGCTGAAATATGAACATTCATAGTTTTCTAAAATATAAATTTGCAAGGCTCTCTGCCCTATGCAACTTTACTTTTTATAGATTCTTAAGTGAAAAATTCAAATGGGAAGTTGGCATGCTATAATACAAAGTACCGCTTCTGGAAATATCTCTATTTACCAAAAGACTTCTGATCCCCACATAGGCTCCATAAGTATTCTTAGGAAATAAAAATGGTGAGTGGCTACAACCTAGTGTTTTGTTTTAGAAGAATGCCCTCTTGTACAAAACTCTTATCAGAAAACAAACTGGTGTAGATACTCATTTCTAGCTCCCAAGGTCATTCCCTATCATCTTCCAATTTGCCTTTGCCTTTGTTCTGGACAGGTGAACTCAACATTATAAACATGTTTTGAAATATTTAGTGATTAATCAAGCCAATTACAAATAATTTCACACTGGTTTTAGAAAAGGAACTGAAAAGGATATTTTTTAGAGATAGTTTATCAGTCAGATCTTCAAAGTTTTCCTGCAGCTGTTGTAGGAGATTTTCTGCCTGTAGGGGAAAAAATATGTCTATGATGCTAGATAAGTTACCATTTGAGCTATTTCCTGGACTAGTAAATTATCTAGCCCTAGTAGCGCTATTGTCTACAGTGTGTAAAAAGAGATGGCAGCCTATCATTTGTGGAGCTAAGCTTTATTTCATGTACAGAGTACGATGAAGAGGGAGGTATTCCCTAAAATACCTATGTATTTTGTGAAAATACTAAGATCTATAAAAGGGGTAAAAAGAAAGAAAGTGTCACATAAAGCAGAGAATATGAAATGCTGATATTATACCTAACTTTTATATGGAAGTGTTTTTGTATGTCATTAATATATTGTAAGTATTTTTTTTTAATCGAGTACAGTGTTTTTTGATTTAGACATACTTGGAATAGATCCCTTGAGTTAAGAAAAAGTTAGCCTCGTTCCCACTCCATGGCATGAGGGTTTCTGGTACCATAAGCAATGGGCACTGATTTTCAGTGAAGAGGTTTAGAAACTTTCTGAAAACCCTATTACAGCTTTTCCCAATGCGGTGCCTTCTACCGGTGTTGGATCTTAATGTCACAATCTTGGGTTATGAGGACCAAAATGCACCAGAGCTGGATGGCACTAGGTCGTAGAGGATTTTTTTTATGCGATGACCTTTGCTACCTGCGAGCTGAAGAGGTATGCTGGTAGCTTCATGCGTTATGGCCAGTAGGTAAAAAGATGCAGAGGGTGCGGGGGAGATGAATATAAATGCCATTTTCCTTCGCCTAGCACCCGTCCTCTTCCTTGCTGATTAACCGTGACTGTGGACATCTCTGCCACGCGATTTCTCCTCAGCTATGTTTAGTCCCCAACGGCTAACACAGAGTGTACTTTGCGTCTGGGACGTTGCCTACAAGGGCTACGACCCATCCGAGTTCTGCGCGAGCGACAGAAAAGCGTCCGCGCGATACCTGCGCAATCGGCAAAGGCGCGGCCGCAAAGCCTCGGACGAGCGTCGCGCGTACTCACAAACTGAGAGAGCTCCTTGGCATTCTGAGGGTCGTTGTCCGCCATTCCCTCTTTCTCCACCTGCGACGCCGCCGGTGCTTGACTCGCCGCTTGCTTTCCCGCTCTTTCCTGATCAAATTGCCGCCCTGGACGGGAGCGAAGTAGCTCCGAGAGACAAAGCCGCCTCCCTGCCGCCCTCCGAGGTTGACAGGCGGGCTTTCCCTCGCCGGCGCGTCTGCACAGCCACGTCCTCCGCGGCTGCCGAGGAGCCAATGCAAAAGGCGACGGTGACTTTTCACACCTCCTTCCCACGTGCCCGATGTGTCATTATTTTGGTGCCTGTGACTCGGAGTTTTTAAAGGATGTTAGTTTCTCTCTTGACATTTTATTGCCCCTAAGCAGCCAAAATAGCAACTCCTTCCCATTTTTTAAAGTTTGAAGGATGCTGTTGGTTGCTAAATTCAGTCTTGGTATATGATTGACGCTAAATCTAAACAAGCTGAGGAATTTAGAAGAAAAAGTATTCCAGTAGTGCAGAGGGTGTTTTCTTCACCACTGTGCTAGGAGTCCTAAAATATCAGAGATTAGATGGGGAGAAAGTTGTATCTGCAGGGGCACAACTTTAAACTGCCTGGGAATTTCATTGATGCCTTTGAACTTTGGTGTTGGAGAAGATTCCTGAGAATACTGTGGACAGCCAAGAAAACAAACAAATGCCTCATTGAACAAAATGACCCAGAGTTCTCACTCAAGGCACAAGTGACCAGGTTCAAATTGTCCTACTTCAGACACATTATGTCAAGACCCGGCTCTCTGGAGAAGGCTATAATGTTGGGAAAGGTGGAAGGAAAGAGAAGAGGGCAACCAGCAGCAAGGTGGGTAGACTCAGTTACAGTGGCAATGGGTGCACCGTTGGAAGACCTGAAGGCCGAGGTTAGGGACAGGTTGTCATGGACAAAATCTATGTGGTTGCTAAGAGCGGACAACAACTTGATGGCACATAATCACCCGCACATCTGCTCAAGACAAGAGCACTTTGGTTAAATTATATCCCATCTTTCATTCAAAAGTTCAAGGTGGTATACATAACACTCTCACTCCCTTTTTTCCCTACATGTAGCAACAGTGTGGATGTAATAGGGTTGCATTTTGTCCAACCCAAAGGTTTTTGTAAGTGCACAGCACATGATGGAACAAACATGTCTTGCAGGAAACACATAGAAATGTGTAAGTTATTTATTGTTCATTATGCTTACTGTGCATGTCTAGAAAGACTAAGGCCAAAAATAAGTAGTCTGTCACAGTGTAAAATTGTAAGAAATATTGTAGTGACATTACCTTGAAGACCAACTAGTCCAAATAAATGGTAATTACAATGCCAGGAGCTGTTTATTTTGAAAAACGGGTATTTTCAGAAGCTGTACTGCCTTATTTTAACATGATATTATAATATGCAATATAATTCAAATCAAGATGAGGAATTAAAAAATAAAGAACAGCCTGGAACTAGGATACTATTACAGACATAGTATAGAGATGAAGGTCAGAGTCCAAAAAGTATGTCATTTTTGCTGGTAGCATTTTAAGCCTTTTAAAAGATAACATTAAAAAGTTAATTCCATATCACAGATGTTTTCAAAAAAAATGTATTTAAAATGCATTTTTTTAATCTGGTGAGAAAAGAGAGACCATAGGACACGGTAACACTAACATCCCACTTCCGCCACCACCTTAAACTCACAAAACTGGTAATAGTTCTTTAGAGTCTGTTGCAAGAAAAGAAAGCGACAGCCTGGCTGACCTCGTTTGGCTCGAAAGCTAAGCAGGACTGGTTAGTCTTGTGTAAGATTTCTCCAAGGAATATCAGGACTGTAGGCTAGATTGAAAAGAAAAAAAAAAATTCTAAAAGCAAACCACTTTCATATTGTTGCTAAGAATACCAACAAGTGTGTGTCCCTGAAGTCACCAGGAATCAAGCTTAAGAATTTACTTGAATGAAAGTAATAATATTTCAATGGAGCTGTCATTTGATGGTGGATTTTTAAAAAAATAAAAGCCTAAGAAACTGAATTGACACACCCTCTTAAATATTCCTAGTCACATACAGTATACAGATGGCTTGCATACACTGAAGAAAAATATGAGACTGGCAGGACAAGTTTCACTAGAACAGCTCTACTTTTTATTAAAGTTATGCAAAAACAAAATTAATCAGTTAGGTATTTAATTTACTGAGAGGAGGCACATGTGGGTTATAATAATTAATCGTAGCTCCAAACATTTTTCACATTCATTTTTATTTCCTAGAAGTCATCTAGGATGTGAATCTGAAAACAAAAACAAAAACAATTACAGCATATTGGAAAACCTGTCAGAACACATTCTTATAAAATTAGGCATGATGGTTAAACAGCTAGGACTGTTAGTTTTAGGTTTAAGGTATAAGATTTTAGATACGTAATAGATTTAAAATAAAATTGATTAAAAATATGCATGCGTAGATGGATGCTGGTGAATTGATAAAGGAATACTGTACTGTGATTACATATGATCATATACTTAAATCATAGTATTGGAAAGATAAATTGACTTTCTGTCACTTCAGATTTAGTACTGATGATTATTTATTTTATTTTATTTTAATTTGCTTTTCAATAATAAAGGGAAAGTAAACATAGCATGGCTCCTGGAATTCTTTCCTACTTTGTAATAATAGCTCTGCTCTGGGTCACATGACTAGGAAGTGGGAAGGGCAATATCATGGAGGACTCAGAAGCATTCTGAGCAACTGCCCAACTGTGTCTCCCACTATGTAGTTCCTGACCAGATCAGCCCATTTCAAACTTGATCTCCCTTTCGCTGCTTCTTCCCCACTTCCCTCATGCTAAATTTGGACTAGTTCTGTCAGTATTCAGAGAGTTATCCTGCTGACAGGCAGGGTCCTGAGCCCCTATATGCATTTTCTTTTCAATATTCTGTTGAGTTGTAAAGAGTAAAAAAGAGAATCCAATTAGATTAAGCATGGAGGAGAATTAAAAACCCTCAGAGTTGGTTGCAATTTTTTACTCAGCAGGGAAAACAATATTTTTCTCCACATTACATATGAATTGGAGAAATCCTCTTATTTTCAGCTTCATACTGGAAGATGCTGTGGAAAACCAACACATGGAGGAGTGTGCAACTGACTGCAGAACTAGCTAATGAAAAGGTGGATGCCTTTGAAGATTAGCTGTTGCTTGGAAGATCTGGAGAGCTTCTGAACTGGAGCATCATCAAAGGAATCTGGATTTGATACTTCATTTATCTCCTGTCTTTAAAGGGATGTAGATAATCAGTTTCAGCAGACGATTTCTTCCTTGTTCAGATATGCCTTATAGACAAAAGGTAGCAGACTATTTTACATGATAGCTTGAAGCTAACCTATACTCAGTGCTCTGAGGAGAATTACAGTGTTTTCCTTCATCATAGGGTGATTCAGCTGAGATCTGGGCAAATATGCTAGACCAAGATACTAGAAGAATGTCATGTGAGATGCATGACCTCTAGCAGTTATGAAGTATGTGTTCTTATTTAAACCAGCATGGAAAAGCTATTTAAGGCACAAAAGCTTTTCTAATGTTTGGCCTTACTGGAGTAATCCAGTCTATAACCATATCACATACTGTTTAAATATAATTCAGGGTATATTCTGGAACTTTGTCAGGTGTCTAGTACTATTTTATCATCAACATAAATGTATTAGTAATTGGCTTCTGATATATTTGAACATCTGCTGAGTTTATGGGATAGCATCTTCTTAGAGGCTAATGCCATTCAAGCAGGAGGCCCAGGTCATTTCTCCAACCATCCCTTTTCCAATGAACTATAAACTATATAAATTGAATAAATAAACAAACATCTGATGAAACTCAAGATCTTACGCAAACATAAAGTAAGTAATTAGTTTGGCTAGGCTTTTGTTTGGAATTCTTTGTGTGTTGTTGCCTTTATTTTCCTGTATTTCCCTTTTCCTAATAAGTCCTTTGATGGCCTATACTGGCTGTTGCTGGGCAGAAAAAGAAATTATGAAACTAAGGGGCAAGTAGGGAAACCCAGGACTAACGAGCAGAACCAGACAAGACGGGTTCTGCAGTTAGACTGGTGAACTATTATGACCTTATGACAAAAGGACCCTAAAACCACACCTCCTGTTATTACAATTATATTTGCACCCCCACTCATATATTACGGGATAGGCAAGGTGTTATACGAATGTGCAAATTGTATCAAATTTTGATCAATCATATTCTTCCTCCCTGTTTGAATATTGTATAAAGAAGCTAATGGGACAAGCACTGAGCGCACTCTCGGTGTAGAGACACTTGGATGCATCTTCCTTTATTGCTGCAGTAATAAACGAGTTGGACTGGATTTCTCACATCTTGCGTGTTATTTGGAATTCCTCACACTGGATTCTTGCACCTACCTTACACTGGTTTTCTGGCCAACACCTTTTTCACTGTTATTGTTATTTGTTTAATGGATTTATAAGCTCCCTCAGTCACCAAGGGCAATGCTAGGCAATATGTGAGCATTTAATAATATATTTTAAAAACAGAAGCAAAAGAAAAAACAGTCAATAATAACAATATCAACTTTAACAGCCCATATTGCTGAAACTACAACCAGAAATACAAAACAATCAGATGCAAAACGGGGCCACAAATCACCCTGACCCAGCACCTCCTGAAAGAGCCAGGTCTTCAAAGCTTTTTTAAAGGTTAGCAGAGTCAGGGCCATGTGGACTTTGGAGGAATGCTGTTCAAGAGAACAGCAGCAGTCACAGTAAAGGCTCATCGCTGAGGTCCTAAAACATGACATTGTTTAATGATGGGATCTGTAGCATGCTGACTCTGCCAGATTTTATAGGATAAGCAAATACTATTGGAGAAAGGTAGTCCTATAAATATCCAAGCCCTAAGTCTTGAAGGGCTTTATAGATGACGACTAGGACCTTGCATTGTACCTGGAAGCCAACTGGTAACCAGTGCAGCTCATGAAAGAGAGATGTCGCATGAATGAGGTGCGCCCATAACTATTCTTGCTGCTCCATTCTGGACCATGTGCAGCTTCCATGTGGTGTTCAAGGGCAGCCCCATGTAGAGCTCATAGAAGTAATCCAGTTGATTAAGGCATGAATGACTATGGAACTGAAGATTTGGCTTAATTGATTTAACAGAAAGGAATTTTTCATTAAAAACTCCCTTGTGTGCCAGGCTGTACAGTTGTAAAGCTGTTTGTTTTAGGTTTGGCACAAATTCTAGGTTCTAGGCAGGAAAATCCTAATATTTTTATTTTGCTAGAGCTGGGATAAAGGAGTCACACCTTGGTAGAATGACTAAGAACTCTCATTTAGATAGATCAAAGCATTTCAGGAAGTTCAGCCTGACTGGTAGTAGCCTATCATGCTTACTTTTTATTGGGAAATCCTTAGGAATCAGGGCTACCTGTGAGGTTTCAAATTACTATCCATCTCACTTCAAAACTCTGAGCCTGTATCATGGCATTCTGGCAATCATTGAATGCCTCCTAAAATGCCAATTTTTGTGGAAGCAACTAATACAATGCATGTGTTACAGTTCTTATTGAGATCTTGAATCATATTAACCTATCAGGAGTAAGTCCATCTACTGGAAAAAAAGACCTGAGTTTCAACTTTGCAAATTGTAGCTGCAGATCAAAGTGGCTGTTCATTCCATCAGTCAATGCATGAGAGAGGGAAAAAACTGTAGATTATGAGGGTTACAGGAAGTCCCCAGGTTAAGAACACCCGGTTTATAGATGACCCATAGTTAAGAACAGAGTCTCTTGTAACAAAAATTGAGTTAAATACACAGTGATTTGAGTTAAATACACAAAGGGGGTCTAAACTGGGGACTACCTGTATTATATACAGGATGGCTGCTATAATCTGGTCTTGTGACACAGATTCAGTGTTCTGAAATCCAAAATGGGAGATTGTGTGTATGTGTGTGTGTGTGACAATAGCAGGCCAGGAGAATGACATTTTGTTTGTTGCCAATAAAATAAAAATATTGCTTGTTAATTGTGGGGGTCAGCCAGTGCAAAATGGTTGGGTTCCAGGAAAGCATTTGGTCTGGCTCTCTTCAAATATGACAGTAATACTGATATTTTTTCCTCAACATTTAAGTCAGTTTGATGGTCACTAGCCTTTGTCAAAGGTTGTACAGTACTTCAAATGTGGGTGGGGCTAGAGTCCATTTGGGGTGGGAGGTTCAGGAGTTTTAAGGGGAAAATGAGTGAAAAATCTCCAAGGCTTAAGGCAACCATTTTGACCTTTAAAACTCCCAGTCTTAAAAAAAAAAAAAAAAAGACATCCATTTTTTCACTCATCCATTTTGGAGGATCTGTAAGGACCACAAAAGGAAGGCTGATTGGCTGTTTTTTGTACTTGTTCTGTAGAGTAACTTGCAAAAAGGAAGGCTGATTGGCTGTTTTTTGTACTTGTTCTGTAGAGTAACTTGCAAAAAGGAAGGCTGATTGGCTGTTTTTTGTACTTGTTCTGTAGAGTAACTTGCAAAAAGGAAGGCTGATTGGCTGTTTTTTGTACTTGTTCTGTAGAGTAACTTGCAAAATGCTGTTCTTGGCTCTTGAAGGGATAGGAAGCAAAAATAAGAATGGTATAACTTTGGTAGTTTTTTTCTCCCATATATACTCTTTTTCATCTACTACTCTAATGGTAGAAATTTAGCATATTTAATTCCATCCTCCCATCCAACTTCTCCAAAATAGAAAATCAGAATGGAATTTCTTCTGCTTTATGGATTCAATGGCATAGCAGAACCTAAGCTGACTTTATAATGGCCAGCTTAGAAAGTAAATAGAGTTCCACTGATTGTTTTATTTCTTTACTTTATTTATATGCCACCACACTCTATATGAGAGAGCCAGTTTGGTGTAGTGGTTAAGGCATCAGGCTAGAAACTGGGAGACCATGAGTTCCAGTCCCGCCTTTGGCACAAAGCCAGCTAGGTGTCCTTGGGTCAGTCACTCTCTCTCATCCCTAGGAAGGAGGCGATGGCAATCCACTTCTGAAAAACCTTCCCAAGAAAGCTGCAGGGACTAGTCCAGGCAGTCACCAGGAGTCAGAAACTGACTTGAAGGCACACCCAGACACACACACACAAACCCCACACCATTCGGTATGAACTCATGGCACTGAGTTTAATGAAAAGATACATATGCTATCTTTGGCTCTTACAAGGACTTCAGGCCAGCTTGTGTGTACATAACCATTACATAACCATTATTCCTGTAGTGTTCTGCTGCTGAAAGGCTAAGTGTTAATTTATTTCATTTTACTTTGTCTGGTAAAACATCTGACAGAGGAAAAGTTGTTTTGACCTTGTAACACTTGAGAATAACTTCTCTCTCTGTATTTTCAAGTTCCAGGGCACAATTTCCACTTTGCTTATGGAGCAGCATGAGAGCTGGGTCTCCCACCTTCATGTTTTCTTCAGTTTCAGTGGGTGTGATTTCTGCCTGACAGAATTAAGTATGGAAATTTTAGGGCTGCTTCTGGCCAGTGGAAGTTGCTCCTGATGCCAAAATCCTGTATAGTTTCTTAGAAGTCCTTTGAACTATATAGAATTTACTGCTGGATAGAGATAAATACAGTTTTACGGAATGCTTTAAAAACAAGACCTGCAATGTTGTTAATGCCTTTTAGGATTTCTTTTTTTAATAGAAAGGTTTAATTATATTATGGTATGTTTGATGACAGATGCCTTGAATATTTCATAGGAAGTTGAGGCATAATTGCTGACTAGTAACAGTAGGCAAGAATGTACGTATAGTAGTTAAAATATATGGTTTTGTACTCTGCCCAGAGTCCTTTGGAGTTGGGCGGCTGCAACAAACTTGAATAAATAATAAGAAATATGTTTGGCATTTAGTGTAAACACACACCCATACACGCATTTTCTTTCTTCAATGCACGTCTTCAGCTAAAAATAATGCTTCCTGCGTTGATGATTATGACATTTTAAAGAAGCGTGGGACGCAGTTCCGACCTATTTATATTCTATATGGAACATGCTCACTTTGTTGTATGAAGACTTTGTGATATTAAGACATTTGCTCTGTACTATTTTTCCAATAGCTTTTTCTCGTCGTATCTGATGGGGAAAGAATGATGGGTGGGGGGGGGCATCTAAATCCTTGCATACCAGAGAGAATGGGCTAGATCTTCTCTTTCGGAAACTGATACTCCCCCCACGCGTTTCCCAGCATCTTAGCGCGTCTCCTCTCCGGAACAGGAGGGGCGCTAGGACCCAAACGGCGGAAGGCCAGGAGGGGCGCTTCTGCTTCTCCTGATGTCACAGAGGCGGGGCTCGTTTTCTTGCTCCTGGGGGCTGCTGCCGCTGCCGGCTCCTTGTTTCCAGTCGCCCAAGGAGGCAGCAGCAGCAGCAGCAGCAGCAGCGGCGGCGGCTGTTGCTTTGGGAGCAGCAGGGGAAGAAAAGGCGCAGCGCCGCTGTGGCTTAAGCGCGGTCCAGGGCGGGAGTGGCGCCGCGGGCTGGGGCTCCCTCGAGCAGTAGGCGGAGATGCGCGACTCTTGGGGCGAGGGGCCTTGGCGAGAGCCCAGGTAAGACGAGGAAGAGCACCCCGCAACCCACTTTATTCCTCTTTCGGGACGTAGATTTCCGCCCGCTTGCCCGTCCCGGCTGCCCTCTGCTTTTCGAGGCTGGGGAGTTTGGCGGAGTTACTAGGAGGAGTGGAAGGGAAGTAGAAGTAGTTGTTCTGTGCCAGAGCCGCGGCTGGCCATTCAGAGAGCAGGGGAGAAAACACTTGGTGGAAAGTGGCTTTCTCACTTCCTCTCTATCCCCGCGAAAGGGAGGCGGTGTTGCTAAAATGATCCTGTGGACAGAGGGCTCAGCTGGGTCTCCGTAATTTGGTGTCCCAGTTGTTGGCAGCCCTGTTGGTTCAGCGGCAGATGCAGAAAGTCCGAAGGGGAGTCTTAGCTCTCCAAAATGCTAGGCGTAGTTGGGAGCTCCTTTTTATGATTTCATAGACCAGTTTCTTCGTATTCGTTTTGCTTAACTGTGTTAATTTTCTCTACAAGCAGGTAATCAATAATTTCTACTGAAGTTAGTACAGTGTGGTTTGGGGACTACTTATAATATTTAATTAGTTAAATAAACTTCTCTAAGTTGGATGCTCTGCAGGGGAGTTGGGACTACAGCTCCCAGAATTCCTTGTGATGTGATTGGGCATTTTGGGAGTTGCAATTGTACTGTATACAGTATCTGAAAAGTATCAGTGAGTTTGTTGATTAAAAATAATTTTGATTGATAGAAAGAACTTCTAACTAAAGGAAAAACAGTTACAATGTACTTTGCTAAATAAGTAAGTTACCGAATGTTCAACTGACAAGTGAAGTCTTGAAAGAGATTTTTCTCTCTCATGCACAAGGAAGAATGCTTCTTGTGTATCTTCTGAAAAGGGATAATGTTTTCTCTATAACAATGTTAACTGAGTAAAAATCCTGTTTGTATTGCTGTTGACCAAGTAAGCGTCAGGGTGAACTGTTCCTTCATTCAGATAATCAGTCTTTTCATAGAATTTCTACTCATTAAACTCATGATTATAGGAATTCTCAACCATGGAAAGTTTATCTTATTAAAGACAATGTAAGAGGGCAGCCAGGTTAGTTTATGGTAGCCAAAAATTTGAAGGACTCTGGTAGCACTTTTCCCAACTAACACATGTTATTAAAAGCTACTATATTCTTTCTGATTTGTCTCTCATTAAAGAATCTGCTGCCTTTATTATAAATAACAATAGCTGTCTTACAAGTATCATCACCCCTAAAAGTGTTATACGTTATGCCATTAATTATAAGTATGCTATCCAATCTGCATAGTTTTTTGTTTACTATATTAAAAGAAAAGAACCAAGCATAGAGAACCCCAAGAACTCCACAAATGAGCAAATTTCATATCATGAGTATTAATAGCTTGCAGAGAGGTTTTGGTAAGTATACCTTGTTAGAACATTTATTTTTAGGATTAAGTTCCCCATTCTTATATTGACAAATCAGGTATTTAGCTTGAATGTCAGCATGGTGGAACAAGCACTGGTTTAGATAAATAGATTGTCTTTTCCTCTAGGCTGTTATGGTTTGACTAATTTTTGTTGTAATAAAGCAGTTACTTTCTAATTATGTGACTGAATATTTCAACGCAAGTCTGAGTTTTTTGCCTCTTGCTTTGTTTTTCTAGGGTTGCTTAAAGAATGGCATATGTCCTATAGGAAGATTAATCAGCTATGAATGCAAGTCAGTAAACCCCGAGGAAGTAATAAAAGGGGTTTCCTTGTGTTACCAACTGTCCTAATGCTAAGGGGCGTCATCCTGCCCATGATGGAAGCAGATGGCTGGGAATGGCTGGTGTCTGCAGTTCAGCAGCTGATATCCTGGGGGGCATCTGCAGCCATGGTGTTTGGAGGTGTAGTGCCATACATCCCTCAATACCGAGATATTAAAAGGACACAGAATGCAGAGGGCTTTTCATCCTACGTGTGTTTAGTATTATTAATTGCAAACATTTTAAGGATACTCTTTTGGTAAGTTGTTTCTTGTTTAAAAAATACATTTCTCTATGCTTGTACTTCTGGATGATCTATTGATACCTGGAAGAAAGAAAGAAATGTGTGCATGTGTGTGAGTGATTTACAGTGCTGCCAAATTCCATGAAATTCTTTTGGAGTATAAGTAATATCAGCTGTATTTGGCTCCCTCTGGGTCCTTGTCTTTGTCAATATTTCATGAGTATATTAAAGAGGATACTTGGGTCAAATCCAAATGGTGTTTTTGTGGTTGTCCTAAACCTGCGATATCTAATGTGTTGAAGAATATATGCTGTATTGTATATTTTTGTCAGCCTGAAATTGCTAGGATTGAACAAATGTAAATCTAAATAAAAGCTCTTTTGAAGTTAGCTGTGGAGGCTTTAGCAATGTTAGATGCTATACTTTTGGAAAAATTCATCTAGCAAACATAGTAATAAAATCTAATGAACAATTAAATGTATTATGAAGAATAAGGCTATGTAGCACTTCAGAACTGAAGGGGAAAAGGTCCTTCAGAGCATGCAAGTGCCTGCATGTAGGACCTGTCTGCAATTCCTTAAACCAGAAGTATCTTTACTTGGGATCAGATGGCAGTCTTGTGATCCTGAGAAATGACAAAGCTGCTATAAGGGATTGCAGACAAGGGCTGTGTACTCTCATACACACCAGAGCACCTTTTTACCATTAACTCTGCCCAGGCCAATGAAGAATATTCCTCAGTTACATAAGGATACCTGAAGTGAAATGATAACAGTATTTTTATGTGAAAACCATGTAACTTCTACTAGTCCATTTCTTCACTGTAGATTGCTGTGGCTAACTTGAGAAAGTTGTGGGACCTTAAAGACTGATTACTGCACAAGCTTTTGTAGACTATTGTGATCAGCAAAGGTTTATGTAATTTTAGGATGACAACAAAGACTTTTGTTTTTTGCTGGACTTGACAAGCATAGATATCCCTCTGGAAACTGGGTGATTCTTGTGTGTTATGTACAGGATACAAGTTTCGGTCTTTTTATACAATGCCATTTTAGGATTCTCATGCATATGTCATATTCCTATGTGGGAGTGTCAGGTATAAAATAAAAATGGTAAAATGTAAAAATCTAAGAAGTTAAGTAGCACAATTTGTGTAGTACATTAAAATTATTTCTGATCTTGTCTATTCTTAAGAAGGTTGGACATAGCCAATCACAAAACACCCATTCATCAAACTGCAAACAGATCGGTTTTCTCCTAACCATTTCCTCTGGGTTTCAGAAATGCTTGTTACCACCCAGTGTTGGTCTTCCCCCCTCCCCCCGGGCAAGTGGGCACAGTTTGAAGCAAAAAAACTAAGTTGTAGCCATTCACCAGTTTCATTAACTAAAATGCCCATGGTACTATGTCATGTCCAGAAGAATTCTTGGAATTAAAGATGCAAGCAGAAGGGCTCATCTATCAATATACCTGCTTCCCTTTTTTAAAGAAAGTAGAAGAATAAAATCAAATGATGCAGGGAACCCAGTGGGCCTGCTTTCCCAGTTGTGTGGCTCCTAGAATTAGGCTATTATTTGAGAGCTAGTATTTCAGGAAGGCACAATATCTTAGCAATGTATTTCAATATAGCAATGTATATTAAATATACCTTATATTTCCTGAATGCAGTTCAGAGTGCATTCTAGAGTGCATGTACTAGAGTGCAGCAAATAGGGCCATGCTCCCATTTCTCTTTGATGACAACCATCCAGTTCGGGATAATTCACACTTTTTATGGCAGACCCAATCTATGTGTAAGAGTGAAGTAATGTGGGTAATTGTGTTTGTCGTATGACATCTGAAATATTTAAGAGTAACAACATTTGCTCTTAGTATCAAACATGTATAGCGTTTAGTTGGGAATCCTAGGCTGGTGGACGAATAGCACAGTCATCCATCAGCCTTTTCAATTTCAGAAGACTCTCATTCTGCTCTTGCTGCAAAGCATCTTTGAGCATCTTCGTCAACAATATAACTGATCAATGTTAATGACTAAACATAAGGAAACCATTAGCCTTATATACTTAGTTTGATCCACGAATCTTTGTGGGAAAGGCTTTCCTTGGATTTTAATTTGGTTACAGATGACCTTTTAGGAGGTATGGATGTAATTCAGAATGAAGAACTTGGAGACAAGCAAATACTGTTGAAGTATTGGCTTTTCTTATAATTGCATTAGATTGTTCCATCCATCCATCCATCCAGGTTCTGACCTTCAAAAAAGATAGGCTGCTATTCACATTTTTCTTCCTGTGCTTCCTGAAAGAGAATTAGATTTTTATTATTTGCTTTATAGGTGTGTTTGGGGATGTTAACTAATCAAAATTGGCCTTTTGTTAAACAATTCTTTGTTTAAAGGAATAATGAAGTTCATTGAACCATTATTAAGCCACACTAATCAGGACTATCATCTAAGTCAAAGATAAGAATGAAACATATTGTCCCTTTAGAAGTTGGTGAACTCTCTTTTGTTCCTGTCAATGCCGCTAATATACAGTATGATGAGAATAACAGTTGGGCAACATTTGGAGAGTCGTATGTTCCCTCTGCCCGCCTCCCTGGTTAGATAAATGAGGGAGACTAGTTATCCTTACTTTTCCTGCAGTGCTTTTTTTCTTTTTCCTAAACCAGTGTAATGATTATTTCGGAGCCTCAGTATGAGTCTATGTCATAAATGTTATTACTGTGCTATAAATATAATATTACTGAGCCAATGCACATGCTTTCATTGTTTTAAGGGACTGATTTTCCTGGGTGATAATGTTATTACATTGTTGTAGTTATGAAATCTTAAAAAAAAAACTCACCAATGGCTCTTTAAAATATAACACTTTCCTGCAATTTAAACATGTTAGAGATTGGACCCTTTTTAATCCAAAGAGCCAAATAGTCAAGTAGATAAATTGTGTGTGTGTCCTTCTCTGTATCTCTCATCCTTCCCAGTTTATCCTCACAAACCTGTGAAAACGGTTAGGTTGAAAGATGGTGACTAGCCCAAAATCTTAATTCAAAGAATTTACTCTTGCACTCTTAATCTAGCACTATACCACATTTTTTCCAGGAATTTATTGAAGAATGGCTAAAATGTTCCATGGGTGAGCTGTGATGACAATGTTTGGTGCTTCACATCCTGAACTGGCTTAAATGTTGGTTGGAGAATTCATGGGGAACTAAGGCAGACTTGAATGTGAAGACAATGGGCAGAATAGGCAGGGATTTAGAAGAAATAATGCCTAGGAGGAGAAAAGGCAATAAGGTCTAAGTAATAAAAACAGGAAATCTGCCTTAATAAAGTTAAGGCAACAGATACCTTCCTAAAGCATTTTCTGCATCCTTTTATAGGAATATTAGAAAGGCAGGTGCTAATGAAATTTAAGCAGGTCACTAGTCCCAGCTATGCCTCTTTAAAAGTCAGGGACTTCATACAAGACAGACAAAATATATGGTTTCTAATCATATATATGTATTGCATTTTGGGATTGTTATAATGAAAATTGGAGTGCAAATTGTATAATTACATAAATTTGGGTAGCTCAGGAAAAATCACCATGCAGTTTATGCAGTGTTCCTCAGCATAAACTAATCAATATTTTATAATTTATATTTTTAAGTCAGACCAAGGTGAACAGACAATGTTAGCCTGGACATTCCCACCTACTTTGAAGCCAAGATGTGATGAGAAGATTCTGAAATAGTAGAGCCTCTTTTTGCTAAGGATTATTTTTCTGGTAAGGGAGAAAAAATGTACCTGAAGTATTCATAACATTAGTTGCTGAGCTATTTTTTGGAGTACCTGTACTGCTGCTGAGTTATATATTCCTCCTGATAATCCAGTACTCAGGTTTCTTCTATTAGCACTTTGTTTGCTATGAAGTCAGTTGAGTCCTCTGAGTGCTGTCCTGTTTCCATGTAATTGGAAGGGGTGGGGACGGACCTACTGTTTTCTGGCCAGTAGAAAACACAGCTCCAGCCCTGCCCCAGCTCTGAGAAAGAAAGGTTGCAAAAGTAGAGAACGAGGAAATGCAGTCTTGTAGCAGGTGGAACAGGCTAGTTGTGTTAAGGCCTACCTGAATGCTCTTCAGCTTGAGTGTTAGATGAGGGGAGCGCTGAGCCCAGGAATCCCTTCTTTAAAACTAGACCAAAATCATAAAACAGTACAAGTCCGTTACAAGATTGGCTTTTCATATTGATTTATCAGTGACAGTTTTTTAAAAAGACTGATTGTGGGCTTTTAGTAGTGTCTTTTTTTAATGCCAGCTAGTATAACATTGCAGGACCTTCTTTCTGATCATGGTTGTATTTTTGCTAGTGAGTGGGGCCAGTGCTGCTCTCTCTCCTCACACCTTCATAGATGTTATAACCAGTTATGGGGAAACTAAGGCTGTATTTTTAGTCTTAAAAGATTGGCTCGTGTAGGTTTTGTTTCTCACTTCCAAGTTGCTCTATTACAGCAAAGTTCAAGAACGGGCAGATAATGTTTTAAAACTCTCTTACACACTTTCTCTTGCTGTCTTTTGTCTCTCTCACACACACACATAGGACAAGACAACTTTACATTAACATCTGGTAGATAATTTGATCAAAGCAATTTACTGTGGTATTTAATGGGGTTCCTATCATTTGTATTAATACACAATGAAAGAAAATTCAGGAAATGGAGAATTGTATTAGTGTCCATTATTGCATCCTTCCTTTGAATATTGGTAATGGGTTGCTTTTAGAGAAAGGATATTTGGATTTCTCAGTCTACTTGTTCATTATGCTACTGCTTTCTCTTTTCCCAATAAATGGGGGCTTGTAGAAAAAAAAAAAGTGCATGTATTTATACACATGGAAAATATTTAATAGTAATAGTTGAATAGTAGTAGTTACCAGTTTGCCCTTGAAAGTGGGATATCCTGTTAAAAAGATTTTAAGCATACATCTGTTCATATTTGTTTGTCTTTTGGATCATAAGACCCAACTATATATAGATT